ATGGGTGGTGGGGGGGGGGGGGGTTGGTTCTGAACGGAAAGTCAAGTAATTTTTTCTTCTTTACAGAAAATCTTTGTTAAAGGAATAGTTGACACAAAAATAAAAATTTGCGTAACATTTCCTCACCCTCAGGCTAAACACTAAATCACTTGCTCACCAGTTGATCCTCTGCAGTGAATGGTTGCCGTCAGAATGAGAGTCCAAACAGCTGATAAAAACACCACCGTAATCCACTCCAGTCCATCAGTTAACGTCTTGTAAAGCAAAAAGCTGTGTGTTTGTAAGAAACAAATTCAACAAGATGTGAAAAAGTCATCTCGTTTGAATCGGGAGACAAATATGCACAGGTCGAGTACGATTTACAAGAAAAAACGGTTCTAAATAAAATCAATTTCTCCAAATCCGTTCTGATGAAGAAACAAACTCATCTACATCTTGGATGGCCTGAGGGTGAGTACATTTTCAGCAAATTTTCATTTTTGGATAAACTGTTCCTTTAATGTTTATATTATCGTAATATCTTCATGATTTATAGTCATATTTGGCAGATAATAAGATAATATAGTTTACATTTTGTGATGATACATGCAACCAGACAGTTGAGATTTGCGATATAGTGTACAGTATATTGTGCTATGTGAGTGTATGTATGCAGGTTAAATTGGGCATACTAACAACTTTAATTAAAGAGCCGTTAATATAGCCGATAATATAGTTGCATTTTGTGACTAAATAACCAGGCAGTTGAGAAAGTGGGTATTTGCTCCTGCAGAAGTCACCTCCAGAATGGCATGGCTACATGGTTGCTAAGGTGCACTAATGGATTTTAATGTATTGCTTTGTGGTTGGTGTGTTTGGCTGGTTGCTTGCTGATATTACGGTCCCTTCTTTAATACAAGTCCATGGGAATTTTTACTCCTGGTTTATCGGCCACTGGTCTGTGCTTTTCATGTCAAATTTGAATACTTTAGGGCAGGAGTTTCTTCACAACCTGAACCCCAGGTTTCAGGATTGAGGATCGTGATACTGCCTTCACAGGAGGAGGGAAAGCTGGAACATCCTTATGGCAGGTCCAATTTATTTAGTCATGTCTTATATTCAGTACGATTTTATATCTGTATTTTGCTCCTCTAGAACAACAATACATGAACTGTCACCGTGACTGACACATCACTAATGAGCATATTGTGTAACTTGCTGTGTATTTTCATTTCTTCTCTGAAGCTGTAGGTTTCTGGCATCTCAAGGACGGCGGGACACAGGCGGTCTTTTGTATGCAGGTGTAATGAGAGTCTCCCACACCCCGTTTCCCTATCCATGTCTTGCTTTGAGTTTGTGACTGGAAAGCTGAGCAGAGATTCACCTCAAAGGACAATTAAATTTCCCTGTAGATTGCTTCCGTTAGAGAGGTTCCTCTCATCCGAGGGCTCGCTTGCTCGCTGGCTGGGTAACCAAATGGGAACATATGCAAACTCTGTTTTTCTCCCCCCACCCTGTCCCCATTCACACACTCTCCCTTTCTTTTCTGGCCAAGAGGTTCAATGTGCCATCTCCCGAAAGCAATCGAGGAGCGCTGCAGCAATACTGCCCATCACTAGCCGTTAGGGAAAGCGTCTAGAAGATATAACAGTATTCTATCTTCCCGCAGGGCACCAGAGTTTTATTAAAATTAAGGTTAAAAGTCTGGTCACTTTGAAGATGGTTGGAAACTCAAATCAAACTGACCAAAGGGGATTCAATTACAAAAAAAAATAAATAAATGCAATGGCACTACTAAGTTTTTTTTTATTTAAAAGTGGCACTATGGTGCTATATATACATACACATACATACTGTGTAGTTTTGGAGACGTTCTTTAATATTTCTGTAGTTGCTGTGACACAGTATCATAGTAATACAATTTTTTAAAAATGTTTTATTTCTTTTTTTGTTTTTGTTTTTTAAATGTAAATGCATGCACCACAGTTGGTTATTGTTAGTGTACCATTTTTGGGTAACGTGCATTTATACTTTTGAATCAAACATTTTGATAGTTCAAATGTTGGGTAAATTTCTCCTTCTAAAAAGTACTGTTAAGGTATCATGCTATGGTAATGATGATATATCAATAATATATCAAGCTACTTTGATGTACTGAAAGATTTCATTTTTAATCATGCCATTCCATTATTTGTATGTTTATTTAATTTTACTTAAATAGTTTAGACTGTATTTTTGAGCAACTTAAGCACACATTTGACCATATTATGCCCAAGATTGCTTTCTAAGTAGACCGATCACTAGATTTTGAGACAAAACCAAAGCCGTTTCTGATTTATTGTCATAACAACAAATTCATTGCTATTAAAAAAAATGCCCGTCTCATAAATAAATAAAATGGTCCTTTGATATAGTGAATGATTACCGTTTTAGTGTACAACGGTAATATGGAATGTAGGCTATATTTATGGTGTCCTACTTTTTTGTTATCAGCATTTTTGAGGATGAGGTGCCTTCAGACGTTTAAATCGAACATTTGATGGCCAAAAATGCTATTTATTTTGGCAGCTCGCTAGATTTGGAGACCAAACCAATGTCTAATTTAGGCTACCAGCAAAACAATAGTAACTAATTTATTAATATAAAATACAATAGTGCTTTTGTATGAGCGATGACCGTTTTCGTGCATTATGGTACTTAAAAAAAATTATTTGGTGCATTTTTGTTAATTTAGACCATTTTTGAACAACATGGATACGCTTAGACGTGTAAATCGAACATTTAATGCTGTTTATGCAGACAGCTCACTAGATTTTGAGACACAGCCATAGCGCTTTCGGATTCATAACTCGTGTATTGCCATGTGGTGCTGAGGAATACTTGAGTATTTTTTTTTTATGTATACTGCGCAACATCGACGTTTACCACAGCTCAACCGGATTTTAAAAGCCGTGGGCGTTTGGAAAACTGTATATTTGACAAAACGTTTCCCCACATCAATAGATTAAACGTCCCCAAAGGTTTGATCCATATCTGACACCACATCTCATAAATATTGTATGGCTTCTGTAATATTAAAAATGGATGTTTTCAATTTAAGTTTTCAAAGCGGAGTCGGAGTGTCCTCGCTGAGGGAGGGCGAGAGGAGGTCCAGTCAGACTCTAACCTACCTGCGGATCAAACGCGCGCTGTCTCCTCAGGTGCGCGAGGGGGTCAGACTCAAACGGTCCGATGATGCTCGCTCTGCCCAAATTGTAAGGAAAGCCGCATCTCTGCGCCAGTTTGGTGGGCTATATTGCACGTGTGACGCCTGAGACGAGTGAGACCCAGATTTTGGAGTCATTTGAAGACTTAACCCAAACTCCCGAGGAGCTGCAATATGGCATCTATCGGGGAGTTTGACCCGTTAAACAGCAGCGTACCTGCCACCAAAATAGAGATCACCGTCTCGTGCAGGTAAGAGGGAATATCGCTTATTATAATATTACTTCAGTTCAAAATTCGGTACGTCTTAAAAGCATTGTGCCTTTTCTCTTCGTTTTTGCTGTGCATATTCTTTGTTCATTGGAAAAAAAAAACAAACTTAAAATATATTTGAATTTGGTAATTTTGAAGATGCCATTAAACCAAGCGTCTTAAAATGTATACACACAGGCGACTGAGGAGTTCAGCAAAAAACAAAGTATTGGGAAAATGTTGGTATAGCCTTTGTATCTGTTGTGAGACACGCATCACTCTTGCTTGAGGGGAATTCGAGTTCCGTATAAATACCATGGTACATGAATATGGTAATCTTTCAGCACCATGGTATATAGGGCAGCAACAACCATAACCTTACAAAACAGTTCTGTGGCAGTACTGTGGTACAGTCAGTGATGATAATACCATGGTACGTGTCAAAAAAACATGTCAGTACCATGTTACTTGCTACTTTTTACATAACCAATGAAAGGGACAAGTCTCCCTAATATTCAGAAAAGTGTTCAGATTTTTTTTTTCTATTTTCCAGGTCATTAACTTTTACATTAGGTAAATCTATGTTTGGTTATATATATATATATATATATATATGTATGTAAGCATTACAGTACCATGCTTTTACCACATTTTATAAGGGTTTTAGGCGAATCTGTTTGTCTACTTGCATTCATGACTTGCAGACTGTGTCTCAAAATCGAACGAGTTCCCTACCTAGACGGCATTTTTGGCCGTTGTAGGTGCATTTTTGACCCCTTATGGTCATACGTGATTTCTGGGAGTAGATATCATGATTATGTTGATCTTTGAGTCATATTTAATTTTTGTTGTCTATTTGTGCTTAACTTTCATGTTAAATATAGCTGGTAATTGTCTTATGCTGCATGTCAAGCCTTTGCTGCCTGAAGAAATGATTTTTAGCTACAGGTTTTGAGTGTTTTGCATTTTATGATTTGTTGCTTTTCATAAAACGTAAATTAAACAAACACTTATATAATCTAAAATCACAGTTTAATCTGTGAAATAAAGGGCGACCTTTTTTTAATGCCTGGCTGACCTCTTCCCTCGCTGTGTCCCTCTGGACTGTTCTCTCCTTGTTGAACAGACACCACTGGCAACAAACAACAGCACAGACTCTTTCCTGAATAATGAATGTGTAGACTGCTGATGCTGTCTGTGTGTTTGCATAAAGCCTTCACTTCAGACACTGCTTGCCCAGATATCCAAGGGAGGTCTCTTTATACATGCGGCACATCTGCGGCCGCCAGGCTCTGCCCGCTGAGTCTTCAGCAGTAATTTGGCTGAGGTGGAAGACGGGGGCAAGAAAATGGAGCAAGTGGTACCTCATGGTACATATTTCATAGTAGCCTGCTGGGATATGAATGCAACAGATCAGGATTTATGAAAAATGAAAGCAACAAAAAATGACAGCAACGAAATACGCTCCGCTTCTAGATGCCCAATGGGTTTCTGCTTCACTTTGAGGCAGTGTCTTGTGGTATGACATCTCAGTGGTAAAAAAAAGTGTAGCAGGACAGGGTACAAATGGCTTGAGTTTGTGGACTTAATACACTGCATGGTTGAAAGTATATGGGCATCCTCTTCAAATTCTATTAAAGGGAAATAGTTCACCCAAAATTTTTAATTTGCTGAAATTTTAGTTGTCATCAGGCCATCCTGTGGCCCACTCCCATAGTATATGAGTTTGTTTATTCATTGGAACCGGTTTGGAGAAATTTAGAATTACATCACTTGCTCACCAATGGATCCTCTGCAGTGAATGGGTGCCGTCAGAATGAGAGTCCAAACAGCTGATAAAAAAACATCACAATAATCCACACGACTCCAGTGCATCAGTTAACGTCTTGTGAAGCAATAAGCAAACTTCAAACCATGGCTTCCTGCTAAAATATGAGTCACCTATATTGCTTTCTTCAGTGAAAAAGTTCTCATCTCATCTGGTTTAAGAAACGAACAATTATTTTTCAAAATATCATCTATTGTGTTCTGCAGAAAGAAGAACGCCATACAGGTTTGTAATTGCATGAGGGAGTAATTGATGACGGAATTAAAATATTTGGGTGAATACATTTTACAATCTAGGTAAAAAAAAAACATGTTTCTACCTAGATTTTTGTAGAACTCCAAAAGCATACCTATATAAACAATTCACTGCATGAAATGCCTACTAGTGGCAGTAAAACATCAAGAACTTTTATTCCTTGTCACACACATTGTTTACAGTGCAGATTATCAGATAATGAAGACTTTCACACATTTTCTTGCACAATACTATGCTATTATCTCAAAATACTTTTACAATGGTGCATGATTTGTAAACTAATACATTTTGACGTATGCACCACCAGCTCCATATAAATGGCTTTTCTGGTGTAGTAAACTTGCTGGGTATCACACCTGGTACAGCATTGCAGTTGCGAAGTTGAGTGTCTCACGAAACACGAGTCACAATAAAAGAGCTCAAAGACTTTAGAATCAAGCTAAAACGTTTTCACGTTGCATTTGCTTTTGTTAATACTATCGGTTAGATTGAGTGTAGGTGGTACATTATTTTCAAACCCAGTTAACCTTTCAGCACCACTCCCTGGATATTTCTAGACTGCAGCAATATGTATAACAACCAACATAAAAAAACCTGCCAGATTCACGTTCATCTGTCATGAACACACTTTTAGCACCATTCACTGAACACTTCACTTTGAAAGTGTCGCGAAACATACTGGAAGCAACGTAATATCGTTTTGCTAAAATGTTGCCACAGGCATGCTTTTCCAATGAGCCTGGGTTGTAATTTTACTCCATGCAATTCTAGAGAATTCTGTGTTTCTAACTTTGTTAGAACAGTTTGTTGCCCACCAAGGCCCTCAATGGTGTAGCCTACTCATAGGACCTTGGTGAGAGGCAGCCCACTCATGATGTCCCAGGCCCTGTGAATTTTAGCATCAGCTTTTTGTATTTGGTGTCCACATACTTTTGGCCATATTTAATTAGCGTTTTGCATATTAACTGTGCTTTTATATAGGAATTAGCGATGAAAGCAACCAGCAATTACAGTTTTGATGGCTTTATCCATATTCAAAACTCCACAGGACAACTTCAATCTATTATGAAGTCACATACGAGTGTTCAAAACTGATTCCACTTTGCAAGGCAACAAGTTAGTGAAAGAGTGTCTTTCTGTCACTGCATTATGCCGGCAAATTGTGGAAGCTGTTCACGGGGGAAGCCAATTCATCAAGGTTGTTTGTCACTGTCAACACAGATTGCAGCAGATGCCGTCGTGTCACTCGATAAGGGAGAGTCTGGAGGGAAACCAGAACGAGGGAATGTGTTGAAGACTCTCCGACCCGGAGATCTTAAAGGATCTGTTGCCTTTGCCAGGGAAAGCTTGTAAATTCCTGTCTTTTCCATCATGTTTCGAGAAGCAAAGGAAAACATTCTCTCTGTATATTTTTTTGAACGTATGACTCATCAGAAAGGAAAATTCTGTACAGTACCGTTAATCAATTGAACTTTGAGTGAAGATTTGATGGTGTCTTGTTTAAAACGAAGAGAGCAGGCTACAGATATGTAGGTCTACTGGGCTCTTTTTGAGTGCGCCAAAGTTTTAATTATACATCAACTAATCTTCATAACCTGATTTGGAAGTTACTGGCTGGCTAGATGGTTTTATTACATCCATATGTTTGACTAATGTAATGTGTGTCGATGAATATTCCCAGCCACAATGGAGGTGAAATGCATAAGTAGGAAGTTTGCAGTGTGTTCTTCCCGTGTTATTCTGATCAAGGTCATCACCTAAAACCCAACAACCGAAGCCACACGGTATGTCAAGGGATCCCCCTAAGTACGGTGACCTGATTTGGAAGTTACTGGCTGGCTAGATGGTTTTATTACATCCAGTAATAAAATTCATATGTTTGACTAATGTAATGTGTGTCGATGAATATTCCCAGCCACAATGGAGGTGAAATGCATAAGTAGGAAGTTTGCAGTGTGTTCTTCCCGTGCTATTCTGATCAAGGTCATCACCTAAAACCCAACAACCGAAGCCACACGGTATGTCAAGGGATCCCCCTAAGTACGGTGGACGTGAAAGCGCTCCCTGTTGAGATGCCAGAGCTCCAGGACCCATTTATTCGGGTTTAAAACGTCACAGCTGGCGTCACACCAGATGTCAGGCAATACCTCCTGTTGCTCAGAGCCGCATCCTGCAGACTAGAGATGGAATCGATTCTCTGCTCAGTTGGATGGATTAATGTGCTCTCTGCTGTACTTCCCTAGCCTTTCTTCTATTCCTCTATCTATTTATTCCACAAACACAATTCTCCTGTGAGAGAATATCTATGGGTTCCTGTTACTGGCCATCCATCATGTCCATTTCAACGCAGTCTGGTCTTTAAATTTAAATGCACCGTCAGAGACCAATAACAGACTGATGGATGGAAACTCAAATGTTAAATAGATGCTGTTGCATTCGGAGCAGTTATGAAACATTACTTTTTATCAGCAGTCTTTGTTAAAATATATTTCTGTTGACAGAGTTAAGGTCAATTTGAAATGCTGTTCACAACCCATTTAACTTCTGTAGCGGGATGCATTTTGAATTGAAACAAGATATGGAATGAGGAAAATGTAGGATGAGACTTGATTTTATCAAGTGGGAATTGATAGGATTGTGAAAGCTGATTGAAAAGTAATAATTTATTTGTAAAGGAAAGTCATTTTGAAGAACAGCATATAAGATATGAAGACAAATTATTTTTTCTTTATAATGGAATGCCTAATGAATCATGCACAATAAGACCAGAGACATGCATTAAAAAGTCAATAGAGTAAGATATATTGCTGACAAAACATTTCAGTGTAGTTCATTATACATGTTGATAATTATCTGGAGATATTTTTTATTTATTTATCAGAAATGATTTGAATTGTATTTATTTTATTTTCAGAGGAAACTATTGTTATCAAGTCAGTTAAAAATGTGGTTAAATGCTAAATACATGTTTTCCACTAAAAGAACACAAGGCAACTGCATTCTTAATAAGAATAATAAAGTAAATAGGGTCAGTTTTGATTTCATGTGTACTTGAAGTGTTCATGACCTTCGTTATTGATGTTTGGCTGGAGGAAATTCGAGCCTGCTCTGACCTGAGCATCAATGAGTCTCTTTGTTCACATAGGACAAACATAGAAGCTGCTTTTGTTTCTGTGCAACCATCGGTTGTAAGCACAATAAAACAATCTCCTCTTGATAGGTTTTGTTGGTTTATTATTGCCAGCAATTATTTTGTTCGGTCTGTGTTGTGCTTGAACATATCTGTTTTTCTGTTTCTTCAGGAATTTGCTGGATGTTGATACCTTCTCAAGGTCAGCGCCAGGTAAGTCCTGATTTTAGTGACTGCTTTTTATTGTGAGGCTTGACACAAGCAGTCTGTAGATAGTTTTGAATAATACATTATCATAATACTCCTGCTATTTATGCATTAGATATGCACAGTATGCAGATTTTCTGTATGCATGGAATACCTGGATAACCTATTATTTTGCCAAAACATATACAACATGCACACACACATACTGTACTGTATATACAGTACTGTGCAAAGTCTTAGACCATTAGGATTTTCACCAACAAAAAATGGTTTAAGCCAGTTATTTCTATATTTTGCTTTAGTGTGCCAGCTGGAAATATCAGTTTACATTTCCAAACTTTCCATTTGCCATTAATTGTGAGATTTTTTATGCATAGAGAGTCTGACAGCAGCCAGTGCTCCACACAGAGATCTGATCTCACCATCATCCAGTCCGTCTGGAATTTCTTGAAGAAACAGAAAAAAACTGAGACAGACTAAATCCAGTAGAACTGTGGCAATGTCTCCAAGATGCTAGAAGAAACCTTCCTACAAAGCTACCTGAAAAACTATGCACAAGTGTACCTAGGACAAAAGCTGTTTTAAACGCAAAGGTTGGTCACACCAAATATTGATTTGATTTAGTTAATAGAAGTTAATTAATACATAACATAAATTTATGACATTATTTTTGAAAGCATCATCACTTTACAGCATTTTTACACAAGTGCCTAAAACTTTTCACGGTTCTGTAGCTTTGCATGTAGGATTCTTCAGGTGTCTTGGAGATGTTGTCGCTTTTCTTCTGGATTTAGTCGGTCTCATTTTTTTTTCTTCTTGTTTTTTCTGCTTCATGTAATCCCAGACAGACTGGATGATGGTGAGATCAGATCTCTGTGTGGAGCATTGGTTGTTGTCAAACTCCTTGTGCATACAAAAATCTTACTGGATTATAACAATTAATGGCAAAATTAATGTTTGAACTGATATTTTCTACTGACATAGTAAAGCAAAAGTATTACGTCTGCTAGGGGTAAGACGCAGTAAACAAATAAGACTCGGATCATTAATCAGATCACTTCTGGATGGCGGAAGAGGTGTTTTAAAAGAACTTCCAGCTGAGCATCCAATAACCGCTGACAGGCGGCCCCACAATTGTCAAATCAGCGGCGATCTAATAAATCAAAACATAAAAAAAATAAGAATTTTTCACGGTACTGTATATTGAACGGGACTTTTTTCACTTGCTTGACCTATTTTTAATTTTATATTTAATATTAATATTATATAATATAAAACAATTGATTTAATATTTAAAATAATTGTTTTAATTTTTATTATTCTATGTATTTTTTATTTTAACACATAATAGCTGAGTACCTCTTTGCTGAGCTAAATATGAAATGTGATGTGGTCATATGTCAACACTGTCATTTTAATATGTTATAACTATTTAAAAAAAAAATAGGCAGAGCACATTGTGTACTGCGCAGTATTCAGGAAACTATTTTTTAAAAACTTGTCTGTAGTCTCAAACGTCTGCATGCATAACCTTTAATATAACTTGCATTTGAAATGTAGCATTTACATATTCATTTAGAGCTTTTTGATTTTCTTGATTGACTAATGAGCATATAATAATTCTGACTGAGTTGTATTTACTATTCTTAAGGGTAATAAAATGGTCATCTTGCATGATAATATGATCATATTTTAATACTGCATTATTCAAAGTTTTTTATATTTCTCTCTCAGAGGGTCAATCACTGAACAGAAACACAAAGCATTTTCTCTTCCCAAATGATGTCAATAGCCATGAATGCTATTCACATGAGTTATTTTGCTGTTGCCTTGAAAACAAGTGGGAAGGTTTCAGATGAGTTATTCATGGCTATTTAGTATGTGAAGCTATTGCTGAAAGTGTTGTACCCTTAGGACATGTCTTTTTTCCTACTGCTTTTTCTAGTAGTATCAAAGAAACTACTTTCCTTCCAAAGTAATCTCTGAGTTGAAAAAACTTGCCTTTTTAAACCTGCCTTAGTCAGAGAAGCCAAAATTATAACATTTGTTAATCCTTCACCCTAATGCTCACAGCAATCAAACGCTTGACTGACATCTGAGTTACCATAATTTGCACTGAGATTGATTCTAAATCTGTTCCTCGGTTGATCTGCCAAAGGTCATAGGAATAGGTGTCTCTACTCTTTCTGAAATGCTTTTTGTGCTCTGATGATTGTTCCATGTAATTTATGGGAAATCGTTAAACATTAGCCGGCCCAGTATAGTTACTGCAGATTTTTCAAGGAGTTGAAAATAATGAATGTGGTCAGTCTCATTTTGTTCAGTGCAACAGAGAGATTATGCATTCGTAATGCCTTGCTTCGAGTAACATTTGCATCTTGAAAAACAAGAAATGCTATTTTGGAGTGATTTTGTTTGGCTAGTTTATGTCTAAATTCCTGGGCCATTCTCAGGGGGGAAAGCCATTTGTGTCTATTGAGTGTTAACTGACATAATTAACAGGATACTTATTTACAGTGGGTATAGAAAAGAATCACCCCCCCTTTAAAAATAATCACATTTTGTTGCTTTGTAGCCTGAAATGAAGAAAGACACATTTTTTGTTTCATCCAGCTGTATTTACTCAGTGCAACTTATAACATCCAAGTGAAAGATATAACACCAACATGTCAGAAAAAAATTCGAAAACAATCACTGAGTTGGAAAAAGGATCACCCATTCTGTCAGTATTTTGTTGAACCACCTTTTGCTTTAATTACAGCCTTTAGTCTGTTGGGATATGTCTCTGTCTCTACTAACTTTGCAGATCTAGACTTTGCAGACTAGACCCACTCTTCTTTGCAGAACATATATATATATATATATAGAATGTTTAGAAGTAACAATATTATTTATTTTTCTTATTAGTTATTCTTACTAGTTCCTTTTTCTTTTCTTTTGTTAAAAAATATTTTTCCCCCAGTGAGATTCACAACTTATTGCTCTCCCACAAATCTTCTGGTGATAGCATGAAGTTTGTGAGCAGATTGTAGAGCGAAGGTTCAAGTCCAGATTGGTCATGCTTGAATTTTCATATTCCTCATCATATTCCTGCTGGCTGGAATATTTTCTCATTAAGACATTTCTGACATCTTCTCAAACTACCACCCATAGAGCTGCAGTCCGTTTTTTGGTCAGAACTCTTCCTGTTTGGACTCCTCTTGAATGATTCAGTGAAGTAATTGATGAGTTAGCTTCTCACACCTGCTGCTCCACACTTAGACTTAACAGGCCTGGAGTTTGGACTAATACTCCATACTGGTCACATCCCATGAAGTAGGCACTTTTTCAAGCCATTTTCTAATTTAGATGATAAGATGAAGCTCTCAGAAAAGCATCTCCATTAGCTTAATTTAAGGAAACTCACTGTGCACATGTTGTAAGTGTTTTTATCGATTGTTTCTCTCTGTGTTTGACCATTATTTTCCCATTTTCTCTCCACAGTGATTGTGTTGTATGTTCAAGGAATTGGTACTAAGGAGTGGAGAGAGGTTAGTATGCTTTTTATGGTATATATGAGCAGAACATATACTGCTCAGCATGTTCGTTTTTAGCCTTTTGAAAATTGGTATTATTATTATTATTATTATTAACATGGTCCATTGGCCACAACCATGGGCAACATTAGGGGCGACAAATTGTTAGTCATGGAATCCCTGATGTTGGCCCCGTTGCAATTGGAGCGCTTAGCCAAGCGCTAAATACCCTCAACGTGTTTTTGCAGCGTTGAGCAATGTAACCAATCACAGACAAATCTGTTGATTTCTTAAATGCAGTGGCCAATCAGAAACGTTTTGTCAGAATTCACACTCACCGCTGAAAGCGCCGCTTAAAAAAACGTAAAAGTTTTTATGTGCAGTTTTGCACGCTCGTGAATCATCGCATTGCAGACACGATGTAAGAGATTCATTGTGCAGTTTAGAGAGCCTCATTGATTATAACGGAACTTTGTAAGATTGCGATGAACGAAGATGAGTGACACTAGTGATAAAGGAAGCGAGCTTTGCGCACTTTCTAGGGTATAATCCATCAGAATTTGTATGAAACTTTCATTTTTCGGACACACAGGCTACACCCTGCAAAGTTTCGGGATTGACATCCGCATATCTATGCGGGATTCACTCTCGAAATAGCAGTGATTGGCAATGGATGGAACATAAAATATGTTGATTTAATTCTGGAACCGGTCCTGGGCAAACCTCCACAGACAGTGCGCGACCCGAGCGAGATCTAATTCACGGACCAAAAGCTTGTGTAAACTTTATTGAGATCGGGACATATCAACCAGTAATTTAATTCCATTTCCAGTAACAGACGGTAGAAAGTTCAGCAATGAATGGTATGCGATTTATGACAGAATATAGTCCCACAACTGATCGTTTATTTTTTCCTCACGTGTAACAACGATTCAAAATGAAAACATTTCAAGTGACACGGGAAAAAGGCACGGAAAACTTCAGTGAACATCAGAAAAGCAGCGTGCATATTTCTGGTTAAAAATGAAAGGCCATCAACTGACAAACTGGAAGCATCACCATTCAAGTCAGCAGGAAGAGCCAAAGCTAGTTCACAGTTTACTAAACGGTGGCAACCTCTTTAAGTTATTCTTGACTGTGTTGGATTGACTGCTTTGATGCGTTGCAATAAGGTAGGGCTGCTAGGGCATTGTTGTGATGCTTTCATCCGAAAAAAAAATTTCATTTATATATTTTTTTTCTTGGCCCCCCTGACTCAAGAGTCAAATGTTGCCCATGGCCACAACTATAGGAGCTGCAATCAGGACACAATATGCAGTTATGTTGACGTGATCCATTGTTGGACTTTTGGATCCACATGAAGTTTTTTTTTTTTTTTTTTTTTTTTTTTGTTCTGCTTATCATCAGATTGTGTCTTATCAGTCGATATTCTCCTCCATCCTCCTCCTCTATCTGCTCGTGTGTGGATGATCGTTTTTTTTCTTTTTCTTTTAGTATGTGCATTCTTTTATTTTCCTTCCAGATGAATCTCATGAGATTCTTTCTTTTAGAAACAGTAGGCCTATCCATAAACTTGCAGAAGGTTTTAATTACAAACATGAATAAAACATTCAATATTACTATATTGAATGTATTTATATCTACATATAAAATAACGTTCAAAACTTTGTTCAGTAAGATTTTTTTCCAGAAATTAATACTTTTATTCAGCAAAGGAGACAATAAATTGATCAACGGTGACAGTAAAAACATTTATAATCTTACAAAAGATTTCTATTTAAAATAAATGCTGTTCTTTTGAACTTTCTATTATTCAAAGAATCCTGAAAAACAGAAAATCCATGAAAATCCACAAAAAATATTAAGCTGCATAACTGTTTTCAACATTGATAATAATAAGAAATGTTTACATTTTAAAATATATTCAAATAGAAAGCAGTTATTTTAAATTGTAATAATGTTTCATAATATTAGCCTTTTACTGTATTTTTGATCAAATAGACAGCCTTGGTGAGCATAAGAGACTTCTTTCAAAAACATTTAAATCATTTTCCCAACTGTAACCTAATTCTGAATAACAGACATTTTAGAACCCAAATTATTTAAACAAATAAGCACATACAGTAAATCTGATTTAATGAAATTAAATAGAAATTACAGAAATTATTATGCAGTGTAGTAGAACGTAGTAGAAATTACAGAAATTATTATGCAGAATGTAGTTGGAATTACAGAAATTATTATGCCATGCTAAATAGATAGAAGCAAAGAATTGGTATTTTTCAGCATATTTCCAGTAAGTGCTGAACGGTCCATCTGGCTGTGCTTTTGTACTTTTTGCCTCTGTGTTTTCCTAAAATGACCCTTTTGACAGAATTGTAAATGCAGCTACTAACTGTATTCCACCACCTTGCCAGGATTTGAGGAATCAGTAGTCTCTGGGAAAGTCTCATATTGAGTGTTGGAAAAAAAAACAGTAGTTTGCTATGGTAAATTTGAGGAATGCAATGAGCGCTCTGGACTTCTCTAGAGATATCTCGCTCTCCAGATGGCATCATGAAATATTCACTGTACTTTTATATAGCTGCTGTGTATCTGGACCAGTGGCTTTCTCCGCATGCATATCAACACTCAAGTGCCCACTCACATTACAAGTACCTCCAAAAGCATGCATAGCAACTGCATTATAAACAGCCAGCTCCCCTAAACAGATAATGCAGCAACCAACGGTCAAGGACCGATCGGCTCCAGGAACTTCTCCAGGAGCAGATAATGGAAAGCGTGGATACTAAGTTGATAGGTGGGATTATGTGTCTGGGGTGTTGAGAACATGATCTTGGGTCTGAATCTGAGTTAGGAATCAATAGTTCATTACTCTGTGCCATCGGTGAGCTCCACCAAGGACTCCTGCCCAATGGGAATTACTGTCTGATTGCTTCAGGGATGTGTATGTTGGTAGGAAGCTGTACGAGCTCACACTGAGCTGCTATTCCTGCCCCACATTCATGCAGAGCTCAGGCTGCTGTTGAGTCTGCTGAGAGAAGGGAAGTCTGAGGGCTGATTTTGCTTCTGATCATGAAAATATGATCATAGCAACTGTTATTATGCTTTGGCACATCAGTAATTCCTTTTGTGCAGATTTTACATACAGCTGAGTGGATAATATTAGCTTCTTTTATGCTTTTCTGTTCTATTAATCTCAAGTATCATGTTTCATTAAAGGATAGTGGTGTTTATAAAAGGGAATATATATTCTTCTTTACTGTGTACAAATTTTGGCAAGAAAAAGTCAAAATAATAGGTTTTATTACATTAACTACATTATAATGTTAAGCATATTAACTCAATGGGAGCCTGATTTCACCATTGAATACAAAAATAAAAGAGGAAATTTTGACTTTTTTTCACAATTCTGAGTTTATATCACACAATTCTGACTTTGATTATTGCATTTTTGAGAAACAGAAAAGAGAAAAAAATGTTGTGGGGGAAACAAAAAACAATTGCGAGCTGTAAACTCACAATTTTGACTTATTCTCAGAATTGGAAGTCTATATCTCACAATTTTGAGTTTATATGTCTCAATTCTGAAAAATTCTGAAAAAAGTCAGAATTGTGAGATATAAACTCAGAATTGTAAGAAAAAAGGCAGAATTATGAGATAAAAAGTCACAGTTACCTTTTTATATTCCATGGTGGAAATGGACTTCCATACAGCTCTGTAAGCCATGCTGGTGTCGTTCAATATGATTAAACATTTTTTTGTTTTTTTTGTCATTTTAAAATGTGTGTTTAAAAAAAATATATATATAACAATCACACAATTCAGTTTTTTTAAGCTGTATTTATGTACCCCAAATTTTAGCAACAGGTTTAGAAATATTGCAAATCTCATGTAAAATTATTGCTGTAAAATGTTTTAAAATAACATCACAATTTATGGTATTATTTCTAGGTATTTGGTTTGACCTTCTGACAAGGTTAAGCATGTTCTTTCACTAATTATTTATTTTGTACCCAGTTTGTGGAGAATGACCTTTATGTATTATATTTTTATTATCTTGCCATGAAAACATTTAATCTAATGATGCATCTTTCAATCTTGTTTAGTTTGGTCGAACAGAAGTGATTGACAACACTCTGAACCCGGACTTTGTGAGGAAATTTGTCTTGGATTACTTCTTTGAAGAAAAGCAGAACCTTCGGTTTGACGTGTAAGTGGATGACAACACTTCCTCCTTTAGTTTCAGGGGAAAAAACCCTTAGACAGTGATAAAATGCATTTTAGATATGATCTTCCATTTCACTTTCAATCTTTTGCTTATTTGATGCAGATACAATGTGGACTCCAGAAGCTCAAATATCTCAAAATATGTAAGCAAACTTTAATGTCTCACATGATGTGCTAATGGATAGACATGTCACGATGCAATGCCTGCAATTTTACTCTGTTGATTGAATGTCTTTTCTGCTACGATGGACGTGGATGACAGAAGGTACAAGCTGTAAATGAGTGTAATTTATCCATTGCTTGTTTTCTATGTCATGCCAAAAATAGTTACGAAGAGAATGCAGTTTGTTTTTTGAGTTCTCATTCTTTTAAAAAAAAGTGTCACGTTCAAAGCCCAGATCCTCTGTGTCCTTTAAAAACTGCATGAAAGAGTCTGTCGTAGTTCTCAAAGTCTCGTCTTGTATTTCTGTTGTTTTTCTCTTTTTTTTCGCTCGCTTTTTTTCCATGCCATTGATTCACCCCTTCCATTGCTTAGAGTTTCATCAGCCAGGCCTCACCTGTCTTTATACTCAGTGACATACAGTATCCAAGGTGAGTCCTCATACCATCTTTCGGAGATTTTCCAGACAGGACTGTCACTGCTGATTTGTGTCTGTGGAGCAGGAACCCCACAATACTGTGATTTACCTTCATTGTTTTGTCTCCCACAGTCCTTCCTCGGCCAGACTTTCTGCACTCTAGGAGAGATTATTGGGTCCTCTGGGTCAAGACTCGAGCGGGTGCTTTCGTAAGTCTTTGATTATTTTCCACCATTGATATGATGTTGAAGAAGAAACAGTACCATGGAAACAGTTCTTTAAAAATTCTCCAAATCCTATGGGGTCTCTATTCAGGCCACAGATTTAACCACATGGAAGACACAAGTTCATCTAGCTCGCATGGCCCAGCTGAGCTCATTTATATAGCAAGTGCTCTCACGATGATTATAAGACAAAAGGGTTGATAAATTGGTCTTTTTCGTGCAGCTTGCGGTTCGAAATCCTTTTATGGTCTCCAGCTCTTTGACAGCACTTGTGAAATCGATGCTTTTAACTGCAGTCGAGGTGCTTGTTTGGGGTTTCTCAGTATAGCAAACCTTCTGTGTCTGTATCAATCCAGAGCAGTTCTGTGCCCGAATAGATCCCAAAAGCTTTGGCGAGGGGTTAAAAAGGACAACTAATTAAGCTTCGGCTTGAGTAAGGATGACTCTCTGGTGACTGTGGCATTTTAACATTAAGATACAGGCTGCCACTGTCCCAACATATCTGGGTCACATCAACGATCTATTTCAGTAGCACAAAATAGGGTGTCTGGACGATGCCTTCAAAGGGATTTGCTTGCATTTGGTCTTACAGAAGAACCACATTTTTCTTGTCATTTTACAGAATCATATGTGATTTTGGCAAATTACATGCGATTTTCACAAAAGCCTCAAATGCTGTTTTTATATGATGACATTAGTGTTAAGTATTATTTATTTACAATTATAGTGTTTATTAATATTTAGAATTAGCTTTTATTTTTTGAAATTTCAGTTATTTTTTTTATTTTAGTTTAGTAATTTTGTTATGTGCTTTTGTTGTTTTTATTTTTAATTTTTCTATATAGCTTTATTTGAGTTTTAGTACTTTATAAAGTACTAAAGTACTCTATAACTTTATTTAAATGTTTAGATTTTTAAGTTTTCATCTAATATTTATTTTATTTTATTTCAAGTTAATTTCAATTACTGAAAACAATTTCTAATAGTTTTAGTCAACAGTAACAAATAGACATGATTAATGCTTTCACATGTAAAATCTGAACAAGTCACTTCAGTTTATTTCAGTTGTAATTTTCATTTAGGGTTCTTAAGTTTACTTTACAGCTTTACTTCTATTACTGAAGACAATTTTTAATAGTTTTAGTAAACAATAACAGCTTTGGATAAGACGCAAAAATGCATGATTATTGCTTTCACATGTGAAATATGAATATATGCGGTTTTAAGTCACTTTAATTTATTTCAGTTGTAATTTTCATTTAGGTTTAATGCAAGTTTTTTTAATGTAGTAATTACATTTTACTTCACAGCTTTACTTACTTACAAATTTTTTTATAGTTTCAGTTAATAATGACAATACTAGATATGAAGCAAAAACGTGATTAATGCTTGCACATGTGAAATCTGAATATATAAATGGTTTTAAGTGACTTTAATCCAGTTGTTATTTTCAATTACGAATTTTTTATATTCAATGTCTATATTTTTCTTTACAGCTTTACATCAGTTACTGAAAATGATTTTTAAAAGTTCACATGCTTTTCCATAATGGGGCTCAGGGATCAGAATATAAGTTGTTTTAAGTCACTTTAATAAGAAAACAAAATGAAAAAAAAATTGAAGATATGGCTAGACAGTGTGACTAAACCCCTTAAGAACATGAAAAATAGTTTGTAAGTCCCTTCCAGCAGCTGGTTTTCTTCCCCGAAGAACATGACGGGTGCTGTGCACACGCTCTGTATCACTGCATGGTAGATGGGGAGCTTTTTGTAAATGCGTCTGATGGTGACACGGCATGGGGCAAAAAACTCTAAATGGGCCGTCTCCTTTTGGCCTTTGTGTCACGCTTTCTGCTGTGCTGTGCAAGCGGCGAGCAGCGAATTAGGAAAAAGGTTGGCGGCAATAGGCATATTTTAGTAGGTCAGCCCGTCTCTCTAAAGAGCTTGTGGGCAGATACTGTAACACACTGGGTGGAAGTGTGGAGGAAGAGGTACTATTCTATTACCTGCTGGTTTCTATGGCAACCCACCAAGACTAGTGGCTTTTCAATTACATACTATTGCATTTGGGCAAATGCATCTAATTCCCTCTGTTTTCGCAAGATAAGGCCAGGGAGTCCTACGGACGAGAGATGCCACGGGATGTTCGGAGATGGGGATTTGAGGGTCCGCGCCATATTCAGGGGCCCTTCGGGCTTGATTTTTCTCCAGCCTCATTTCCACATGTGAGTGTGGTGGATTTGTGGAGAAAATGTGCATGGATAAAAGAGAGCCATATACTGTCAGGCTGAGCAAAATATTTTTAGACAACCTGGTTTCGGTCCAGGAATGTTTGAGATGAGAGAATTGAAAATGCTGTACAATAACAAGACTGGGTGTCAATGTTTCAGCTCGGGGTTTTAAATTGTCACTGAATGCAATCTATTTGGCATGTATGAGTATTGAAAATATTTCAAATCAGCTCCTAAAATACGTCTCGCCACGCAGGTAGGAAGAATTACTCCACCAGAAGGTGGGTAATTTGTCATTGGTCACTGCTGAAAAACAAATTACCTAATGTTACACCCATGTGTTTTTTTACACACACGATCAATCTATTTCATACATAATTTGCAATTTAACTCTCTACCCCCTGCCACACATGCATACACACACACACACACACACACACAAACTGAGCTTCTAATTAGCTAAAAAGAAAGCATGACATTTTCTGTGAAAATACCCTCGGTGTTGGAGACATTCATCATAGTAGCAGCGCTGTCACAGGTTTATACTGAGATGTATGAGGGTGAAGTGTGTCCAGATAAACTTCCAAACACACTACAGTACAGTCAGTGTTCTGATGGCTATCACACTTAGACATCACTAGCTGAAATGGATTTTCACACTCCATTGCATGGAAAATATTTACATGTTCAGTACACTACAGATGTTTCATAGATCTGTGACACATTAGACATCTCTTCTGCATTGAAAATATACTTGTT